GCCATGTCCACAATTGCCACCCGTCACCCCGCAGACCGGCTCGCGGGTTAGCCGCTGCATAGCCGGCCAACTCCACACTCTAATTCACTGACACCCACGTCACTCACCAGGCCAGGCCCCACACTTTAACATCACTCAGCCTCACGAGTCACAGATACTACGGTACCATGTGAGGACGGCAATGCCAGGTGGAGATGATCGTTGTATGTATTGTGTTCAAGAATGACAAATCAATTTTCATTCAAACACTCCGTGGGATCATCGGTAGTATACTCGATTCCAAAAAGATTCGCTTGCTGCAGCCCGTTAAACTTCATGAAGCCCTTCCCATCACATGCTAGCTTGTAGCTAACGGACCTGGTTAACATACGGTTTGGTTCAACTTTGATTAAAAAAGAAATAAATACAGTTCATTCTGTTTTGAGTTCAATTAAAAGTGAGTTGACGTCCAAGTACGATGATTTGAAATGTACAGTACATTGGATATATTTGACATTTTCAGCGATCACATGTTGTTCTGGCACATATTTCCGTCAGTTAAAAAGGGACACAATATAGGTGAAAAGCGAGCTTTACCATTTCCATTTTCTGAACTGCTTTATCCTCACAAGGGTCACGGGGCGTGCTGGAGCCCATTCCATCCATCTTCGGGAAGTAGGCGGGGGACACCCTGAACCGCTTGCCTGCCCATCGCAGGGCAAGCACAGACGATCAACCATCCACGCTCACTCACACCGCGGGACAATTTGGAGTGTTCAATCAGCCCGCCAAGCATGTTTTTGGAATGTGGGAGGAAATCGGAGTACCCGGAGCAAACCCACGCAGGCACTGTGAGGTCGATGCACTAACCACTCGACGACCGGGCCGCCCTTCCTTTATCATTATTATTTTTTTGTTGTTGTTGTAATTATCAAATAGAAATTAAAATGCTCACGTCCCATCTCGAGTGGTTTGTGTGGACTCACCGACATTATCTAATGAATAAAAATGTTTGCGATGTTTTGATAAAAAACATTCCAAGGCGGCCACAAAGACGCAGGAAAAAAGAGCACACAAATCTCTTTTAAGAAATAAAAAGTGCACATCCGGCTTCTCCAAAATGAGGCTGAACGATATAATTAGCTTTCAAGTCTCCAGTGAAAAAGTCAAGTCGTTAAAAAAAGCTTTGAAGGTCTCATGCAAAGATTGCGTAAAATTGGTGCACGAGAAAGACGAGAGTACGACAAACAGTATTGGCAGCCCGCCGCCTTTCACACATAAGCCAGCACGTGAGCGTCAGGTGTTCAACATTGTATCGAATTAGGACATTATAAAGCCACTGTAATGTGGCAATTTAAGAGGACACGGCAGGAGAGGACAGGACAAGGAAGCAAATCATTGAAGGACATGATAGGGAAAGACGAGATAAAGACACCAAGATTGGACAAGACGTGACCAAAGAAGAAAAGAGAGGACGGGACAACAGAAGACATGACACAACAACATCAGACAGGACAAGAAAGGACAGGACAGGATAAGAAATGACAATTGAAGACACGAAAGGACAAGGACAGGATTACGAGTAACAAAGCAGGACAAGAAAAGGCAGGACAGGACAAGACCAGTCGACACAGGACAGATGGGTGCATCATCAGTCTAACCTTTACTGGTTGAAAAGAAATTCATAGACAAAAAAGGGTGGCTCTAAATAAAGAGACGAGGATTCGTGGGGGGGCAGGGGGTCCGTGCCGCCTCGCAAAACCCATTTCCAGCGGTCGCCGCCACACATCTCCACATCCTCTTTTGGCACGCGCCTCTTGCCGTTGTAGCAGACCCTCGCCCACCTGCCCCACGCAGATGGAGGCCAAAATGATCAAATCCAAAAGCCGCCAGCAGCCAGGCCGCGCGCACGCATGTGAACAAACACACACGCGCGGACAAACACATGCTGGAGTGTGAGTGCGGGAAGAGCACGTACGTACGGCGCTGCTTTGACTTGAGAGTCGAATCCGTTCCTTGAGCAAGCTCGCAACTCAATTTACTCATCTGACAAATCCACTTTCCCCATTGAAATGACTCGATTGCTTCCGGCCACCAAAAGCAAATTGTCATCATCACGCATTCCCAGAAAGCATTGCTTTGACTCAAACGAAAACTCGCGCGAAAAACGAATGAAAAGCAACTGAAGTTGAAGCAGAACAAAGCCAAAATGCAAGAAAAACAAATTGCAATGGAAGAAAATCCCACACGATTTGAATCCGGATGTAAATCCAGACAAGCTACCAAGTTGTGGGCGGAGAAACTGGACGTGGGGGTCCAGCGTTGTCAATTGAGCGGAATTGCCACGTGACGATCAGACTTTTATTCGAAGGCATCCCGGCCTGGAAATCCAGACTCATCACCGTCCCGGCGTTTGCGCCTGCTCAAAGTCTCAGCAGCGCATTTCCGAGGTGGGGCAAATGTGAGCAAAGAGAGAAAGCGAAATGAACCAATCGACAAAGAGCAGACCTGACGTTGTTGGGGGGGAAGAAAAATGAAAAAAAATTCATAAAAATAACAGTTCCGGCGCCGTCGGAAGTGCTTCTGGTCATTTCGGATTGAATGCTAAATGATGTGAACCAAATATCGTTTCTCCGGCGCGCCATTTTCAAGGAAGATGGCCCTCCGTCGCCAAAGAGCGACCTTGGGCACAAGGGACACGTCGCAGCACGAAACCGAAATCTGATTGGACGCCTCTTTTTGAGCCGGGGCCCAGCCGCGATGGAGGGCGGGCTTTCAAGATTTAGTGGGTGTGGCTTGCCAGGCGAAATAGGCCCTCCCGAAATGAACATACCAACCAGCCGTGGATGATGTCCAATTGCGACATTTTGGCACAATTTTGAATGGGCACGACAGATCAAATATTTACATTGATGTTTAATCGCATACTCTTGACTGGCAACTGGGCGGACACGAAGCAATTTAAAAAGTCACTTTCCCATTAGCTGTGCGATATAATAGGAAACCCCAACACATTCACACGTGCAAGAAAAAGCGTACGTGTGTGTGTGTGTGTGTGTGTGTGTGTGTGTGTGTGTGCGCGCGTGCGTGTGCTGGCCTATAGGTAGACACGTGCGCGGGTGCGTGCGTGTCTTTAATCAGTCGACTGATCCGACTCTTTTAATGTGGCCGCTCCAATTACTGTAAAAGTCACGGCGCCGCACATAACCACAAATATTGACACTTTATGGCACAACACATTTATGACATTTTGAAGGTCACCTCGCATATTAGGCCCCATCGCTCACATGCGCTCGGCCGGCCGGACGAAGGAATCTTCCGGCGATATCGATCCGCCTGCCATTTTTTTTTCTCTCCTCCTTTTCTTGTCTATGCAAAAGCGGGCCGAGCTGTCGGAGGCGTAAACGCGCGCCATATAGCGAGCGGCTCGTTAAAGGTCGACCGACGTCTGGCGCGCCTCGCTTTAATCGGGCGCTCATCAGATAAGACGTGTTTGGTCGCTGATTCCAAATGTTGACTGTCTGATTAGCAGCGCCGAAATACGCCAAAGAGCAACGCGCGCAACATCGCGCGGACGGATTTGGATAGTCGGTTTCAAATAGCAGTCGACCGAACGCTCCTTCATGTGGGGGTCGAAGTGACATTTGCTAATCTTTTCAAACTGAATAAAAAAACAAAATACACTGAGGAAAAAAAAAATGCTGTGTTCAAA